GAAGCCGAGGCCTCTGTTGCATCCCCGTTCACTTCAAGAATAGACAACATTGAGTGTGTACCAATGGTGATTCGGTGAGTTCCTGCAAGGCTTATTCTAGTGGAACTTTTTGTGAGGTGCCACTCTTCTTGCAAATATCACCAATTTTTGAGATGGTATTAGTAACCAAAACACAAGCTAGGATAGTGGGTGACAATGAGTGCTGCTAACTACTATTACCATACTGCATAATAACTGTTATTGTGAACTTAGCTGTTTGTATCTTCTCACGTTGAATAAATTTATATCTGCCTATTAAAATTATAATACCTGTCTCCCAGTTCCAGTGTAAAACAAGCTTCCTCCATTCCTTTCAGGGAAGGACGAGCCTCTCTTGTCACATCGTTTGGAGTTTTCAAATACATGGCCATGTACAGCATGATCCAGTTTGTTTCTGTGTTAATATTATACACAGTAAGTATACTAGGCATCCAAAATACTGTACACTAGGTAGAGGGTTTTTTATCTTATTTCTTTGTGAGCAGACTGGCTGCAGTGAGAATAAGGAGGAAGCTAGGTAGTACAGCACTTAATCAGTACTGGGTCCTGTACATTGGAGAGGATGGGATTTATTCTCAAAACAGCCCACCTGGTCATGGCTGGTTCATTGTGAGAAGATGGTGCACACATTGCGCCAGGGGACAGGAAATTGGGCAACTTCAATATCCCTGCACATAGTTATGAAACAGCAAAAACTTGAAACTACAGGTAAATCTTCAGCTGTTTTGTGCAATAGGCGGTATTTGATGTGGAGAGATTCCAAAGAAGATAGTTTAAAAATAAGAAACACTCTCCTTTGAATTGTTTTGCCCATCTTCTTTGTTTGCCAGGTGTCTCCCAGTGCCTTGCCTAGTTGACCATTCTCCCAAGCCTGATCCTTTTCTGCTCTGACATCTACCACATCTGACCACTTACAGTCAATGTAGCATCTCCTGACCTACAAGATCAGCTTGCAGCAAAGACCAATGATACTGATTGTAGTTTTTAAGCTTTCTTTCTTTAACAGGGGTTCAGTTTCTTCAAACATTCGGTTTCATTTATCCTAATTTTTAAAAAAAAAATCTAATTCTGTTCTAAAGTGATTTAAAGAAAAAAAAATTTAAATGCAGATCAACTCAAACTTGGGCGATTGGCAGTACCTGTACTTTGACCTGGTTATCACTACGACTGTGGCCGTCCTCATGGGTCGAACGGGGCCTGCAGAAGAGCTTGTGGCACAAAGGCCTGTGGGGAGTCTGATTAATGTTTCAATCCTCGGCAGCCTGCTTTTACAGACCTTGTTGGTTATACTGATTCAGGTCCTCACCTACACAGTCACTACTGCTCAGAGCTGGTAAGTGTGTCACTGTTAACTCAAGATCTACAGCTATTCTCTTAAAGGATTTGTATTTAAAATTTACTAAATTAAGGCCGTGAAATAGTGAGCCATAAAGAATGTTCCTAAGTTCTGTATTTCTCTGTTTGGGACTGATTTAAATGACTAAACCTGGGATGCGACTGGGGCTATTAGAAGGTTGGTGGGGGGGAGAATTATGCGAGATTTTCACTTCTGTTCAGTATCCGCTGACTCTTGTTGGAGGTGTGTATGAGAGTTTTCAAGTAGAGCGAGGACAGGTTGCCCTGTGACTTTTCCAAATATGACATAATTCACCGTTAGATTCCCATTTGGCTTGAGACACCAGAAGGTAGCTGGTACCACTGATTTTAGTTTAGCAAGGTCAACAATGTTGGGAGAATCCTCACATTGTTTCAGTCTATTAGTTTGCGTGCTGTGGGATAAATGGTGGTGCAAAATCCTCAAAGTGCTGGACTTGGAAAAGTTAACTGTCTTTTCTTCCCTACATATGATGTAAGACTTGCTAAATTTCTCCAGAACTTACTTTTGGCCAAACCTATATCAGAGCAGTGGGACACAATCAAGAAGGAAATAGAGATCACAAGACCAATATGTTCCAATAAATATAAAGGATGGGACCAATAAATCCAGCAAACCTTGGATATCGAAGGACGTACAAGATTGAGTGAAAAGAAGAAGGGAGGCTTATGGCAGGCACGGAGGATTCAAAACAACAAACCTTAAAGGAATATAGCATGTGCAAGCAGAACTCAAAAGATAAATTAGGAAAGCTAAAAGTGGGTATGAAAAGATAATGGCAGGTAAATAAAAGTCCTAAATTATTTTACAAATACATTAACTGTAAAAGAATAATTAGGGAAAGTAGGGCCCATTAACGACCACAGTGATAATGTGTGAGGAGTGGATGACTTAAGTAAGGTATGAAATGAATACATTGTGTTGGTGTTCACCAGTGGGCAGAATGATGAGAATATTGAAATCAGGGAGGGGGATGGTGATACAGTTAAAGAAATTAACATGGGAGGAGGTTCTAAGTGGTCTAGCAAGCTTAAAAATAGATAAATATCCAGGGCTAGATAAAATGTATCTCGGGCTGTTGAGTGAGGCAAGGGAGGAATTAACAGGGGTACTGGCAGTAATTTCCAATTCCTCTGGCCATGTGAAAGATGCCAGAGAACTGAAGGATAGCCAATGTAGTACTGTTATTCAATAAGGGAGGAAGGGATAACTAGGAAATTACAGGTCAATCAATCTAAACTCAGCTGTGGTGTAACTATTGGAAGCCAGGCTGTGGGTCAGAATTAAATCTGCATTTGGATAGGAAGGGATTAATCAAAAATAGTCAACATGATTTTAAGGGGTGTCATGTCAGACTATTTTGATTGGATTTTTTGAAGAAGTGAGGAGATTTTCGATGAGGGCAATGCAGTTGATGTTGTCTCGGATTTTAGAAAAGCTTTGGATAAGATCTTACATAGAAAACCGCTATTAAAAATAAGAGCCCATAGATCTAAGGAAATTTGGCTAATTGGATCTGTTGGCTGAGAGGCAGGAAGCAGAGGTTGATGGTCGAAGAGGGATTAGTGTTGGGTCCTATTGTGTATGTGTACGTATCTAGATATAGGCGAATGTAGGAAGGTTGATCAGTGAGTTCATGGATGTACAAAAAATTTGTGGGTGGCAAACAGTGAGGAGAATAGCCTTAGATTACAGGAAGATATAGATGGGCTGGTCAGTTTGGCTGATTAGTAACAAATGGAATTAAATCCAGAGTGTGAGGTGATGCACTTGGGCAAGACAAACAAGGCAAAGGAATACATGATGAACAGTAGGACCATAAGAAGCACTGAGGACAGGAGGAACCTTGGTTTACATGTCCGGTCCCTTAAGGTAGCAGGACGGGTAGCTGAAGTGGTTAAGAAAGCATTTGATATATGTGCCTTTATTAACAGAGGTATAGTTTACAAGTAAGGAGGTTATGCTAGAACAGTATAAAATATTGATTTAGGCCACCGCTTGAGTGTAGTGTGGGGTTCTGGAATTCGCATTATAGGAGGGGGGATATGATTGCACTAAAGAGTGCACCAGAGATTTCCCAGGATGTTTCAGTTGTGAAGAGAGATTGGATTGACTAGAGTGTTTTCCTTGGAGCAGAGGAGACGGAGAGGGGACATGATTGAGATGTATAAAATTATGAAAGACATAGCTAAGGTAGACAGCAAGTAACTTTGATTCTTGGTGGAAGGATCAATGACCAGGGGCATGGTTTAAGTTAAGGAGCAGCAAGTTTAGAGAGGATGTAAGGAAATCTTTTTCGTCCAGAGGGTGATGGGAATCTGGAATTTACTTCCTGCATGGATAGTGAAGGCAGAAACCCTCCTAATACTACTAAAATCTTTAGATATGCACTTGTGATGCCAACACATACAAGGCTATGGGCCAAGTGCTGGCAACTGGATTAGAATAGTTAGGTAACAGAGACAAGAAGGTGCAGAGATGGATGAACACAGCAGGCCAAGCAGCATCATAGGAGCAGGAAGGCT